TCTGGGGTCTGGACTCTGGGGTCTGGGTCTGGACTCTGGGGTCTGGTCTGGGGTCTGGACTCTGGGGTCTGACTCTGGGTCTGGTCTGGGGTCTGGTCTGGGTCTGGACTCTGGGTCTGGGTCTGGGGTCTGGACTCTGGGGTCTGGACTCTGGGGTCTGGGGTCTGGACTCTGGGGTCTGGGGTCTGGACTCTGGACTCTGGACTCTGGGTCTGGGTCTGGGGTCTGGGTCTCTGGGTCTGGGTCTGGACTCTGGGTCTGGGTCTGGACTCTGGGGTCTGGGGTCTGGGCTCTGGACTCTGGACTCTGGGTCTGGGGTCTGGACTCTGGGGTCTGGATCTGGGTCTGGACTCTGGGGTCTGGACTCTGGGTCTGGGTCTGGACTCTGGTCTGGACTCTGGACTCTGGGGGTCTGGGGTCTGGGGTCTGGACTCTGGGGTCTGGGGTCTGGACTGGGGTCTGGGGTCTGGACTGGGTCTGGGGTCTGGTCTGGGGTCTGGTCTGGACTCTGGGGTCTGGACTCTGGGGTCTGGGGTCTGGACTCTGGACTCTGGGGTCTGGGTCTCTGGGGTCTGGGGTCTGGGGTCTGGACTCTGGGGTCTGGACTCTGGACTCTGGGTCTGGACTCTGGACTCTGGGGACTCTGGACTCTGGACTCTGGGTCTGGTCTGGTCTGGGGTCTGGACTCTGGGTCTGGGTCTGGACTCTGGGTCTGGGGTCTGGACTCTGGGTCTGGTCTGGACTCTGGGTCTGGGGTCTGGCTCTGGACTCTGGGGTCTCTCTGGGGTCTGGGGTCTGGGGACTCTGGGGTCTGGACTCTGGGGTCTGGGTCTGGTCTGGGTCTGGACTCTGGGTCTGGACTCTGGGGTCTGGGGTCTGGGCTCTGGACTCTGGGGTCTGGGGTCTGGGCTCTGGGGTCTGGACTCTGGGGTCTGGGGTCTGGGTCTGGACTCTGGGGTCTGGTCTGGGGTCTGGGGTCTGGACTCTGGGGTCTGGGGTCTGGGGTCTGGACTCTGGGGTCTGGGGTCTGGGGTCTGGTCTGGACTCTGGGGTCTGGGGTCTGGGGTCTGGGGTCTGGACTCTGGGGTCTGGACTCTGGACTCTGGGTCTGGACTCTGGGGTCTGGGGTCTGGACTCTGGGGTCTGGACTCTGGGGTCTGGACTCTGGGGGTCTGGGGTCTGGACTCTGGACTCTGGGGTCTGGACTCTGGGGGACTCTGGGTCTGGACTCTGGGGTCTGGACTCTGGGGTCTGGACTCTGGGGTCTGGGGTCTGGACTCTGGGGTCTGGGTCTGGGTCTGGTCTGGACTGGGGTCTGGACTCTGGGTCTGGACTCTGGGGTCTGGGGTCTGGACTCTGGGGTCTGGGTCTGGACTCTGGGGTCTGGGGTCTGGGGTCTGGACTCTGGGGGGTCTGGGGTCTGGACTCTGGGTCTGGACTCTGGGGTCTGGGGTCTGGACTCTGGGTCTGGACTCTGGGGTCTGGGGTCTGGACTCTGGGGTCTGGATCTGGGGTCTGGGGTCTGGACTCTGGGTCTGGACTCTGGGTCTGGACTCTGGGGTCTGGGACTCTGGGGGACTCTGGGGTCTGGACTCTGGGGTCTGGGGTCTGGTCTGGGTCTGGACTCTGGGTCTGGGGTCTGGACTCTGGGGTCTGGGGTCTGGACTCTGGGGTCTGGGTCTGGGTCTGGACTCTGGGGTCTGGGGTCTGGACTCTGGGGTCTGGACTCTGGGGTCTGGACTCTGGGGTCTGGGGTCTGGACTCTGGGGTCTGGACTCTGGGGTCTGGACTCTGGGGTCTGGACTCTGGGTCTGGGTCTGGTCTGGACTCTGGGGTCTGGACTCTGGACTCTGGGGTCTGGACTCTGGACTCTGGACTCTGGGGTCTGGACTCTGGGGTCTGGACTCGGGGTCTGGGGTCTGGACTCTGGGGTCTGGACTGTCTGGGTCTGGACTCTGGTCTGGGGGTCTGGACTCTGGGGTCTGGACTCTGGGGTCTGGACTCTGGACTCTGGACTCTGGACTCTGGGTCTGGACTCTGGGTCTGGTCTGGGTCTGGGGTCTGGGGTCTGGACTCTGGGCTCTGGGGGTCTCTGGGGTCTGGGGTCTGGGTCTGGGGTCTGGACTCTGGGGTCTGGACTCTGGGGTCTGGGGTCTGGGGTCTGGTCTGGACTCTGGGGTCTGGGTCTGGATCTGGGTCTGGGGTCTGGGGTCTGGACTCTGGGTCTGGGGTCTGGACTCTGGGGTCTGGTCTGGGTCTGGGTCTGGACTGGGGTCTGGACTCTGGGGTCTGGGGTCTGGGGTCTGGGGTCTGGACTCTGGACTCTGGGGTCTGGACTCTGGGGTCTGGGTCTGGACTCTGGATCTGGGTCTGGGGTCTGGACTCTGGGGTCTGGGTCTGGACTCTGGGGTCTGGACTCTGGACTCTGGACTCTGGGGTCTGGGGTCTGGGGTCTGGGGTCTGGGGTCTGGACTCTGGGGACTCTGGGGTCTGGACTCTGGGGTCTGGGGTCTGGACTCTGGACTCTGGGGTCTGGACTCTGGGGTCTGGATCTGGGGTCTGGATCTGGGTCTGGACTCTGGGTCTGGGGTCTGGGGTCTGGACTCTGGGGGGACTGGGGTCTGGGGTCTGGGGTCTGGACTCTGGGGTCTGGGGTCTGGGGTCTGGACTCTGGGGTCTGGGGTCTGGACTCTGGGGTCTGGGTCTGGACTCTGGGGGTCTGGGGTCTGGGTCTGGACTCTGGGGTCTGGACTCTGGGGTCTGGACTCTGGACTCTGGGTCTGGACTCTGGGGTCTGGGGTCTGGGGTCTGGACTCTGGGGTCTGGGGACTCTGGGTCTGGGTCTGGACTCTGGGGTCTGGACTCTGGGGTCTGGGGTCTGGGTCTGGACTCTGGGGTCTGGGGTCTGGGTCTGGGTCTGGACTCTGGGGTCTGGGGTCTGGGGACTCTGGGGTCTGGGGTCTGGACTCTGGGTCTGGGTCTGGGACTCTGGGTCTGGGGTCTGGGTCTGACTCTGGTCTGGGTCTGGTCTGGGGTCTGGACTCTGGGTCTGGTCTGGGGTCTGGACTCTGGACTCTGGGGTCTGGGGTCTGGACTCTGGACTCTGGGGTCTCTGGGTCTGGGGTCTGGGTCTGGTCTGGGGTCTGGACTCTGGGGTCTGGGGTCTGGACTCTGGGGTCTGGGGTCTGGACTCTGGGTCTGGGGTCTGGACTCTGGGGTCTGGGGTCTGGGGTCTGGGGTCTGGACTCTGGACTCTGGGGTCTGGTCTGGGGTCTGGGGTCTGGACTCTGGGGTCTGGACTCTGGGGTCTGGGGTCTGGGGTCTGGACTCTGGTCTGGGGTCTGGGGTCTGGACTCTGGGTCTGGACTCTGGGTCTGGGTCTGGGGTCTGGGGTCTGGACTCTGGACTCTGGGTCTGGGGTCTGGGGTCTGGGGTCTGGACTCTGGGGTCTGGGGTCTGGGGTCTGGGGTCTGGACTCTGGACTCTGGGGTCTGGGGTCTGGACTCTGGGCAGGTATTTCTCTTTACACTAAATATGTAAAAGTCACAGTGACGTTAAATCTGCTGTTAACAAAATCCACTGTTGAAGATGAACTAAACACACGTTTGTTTTGCAGCAGATCCAAACATATTTAACTTTATGTTAAATCACAGTAAATCAGACGTCTGGTGCTGTGATCGGAGAGCAGAGTCTTTAAACTCCTCTGCCTCACAGCGAGAGGGTCCCGGCTGCAGCTCGGAGCAGCTCTGCTTGTCCCACGGCGGTGGGTGGGCCGGCGCGGGGCAGAGCCTCAGAAGTGTTGGGTGTAAAAACTTCTCGAGTTTCGTCAGACACACAGTCCTGTGGCTTGGATCAGCAGCGCACATTCTGTTTGGTCTAAGAGCCCAGACGTTTGTAGTCTTTGGGTCGGGTGACGAGTGGGAGAGGAGACGTCTGAATTGGATTAGCGCTGCTCGGGCCTTGAAGCGCAGGCGGTTTGATGTCATTCATTAAAGCCGTGGCGTAAATCATGGCATAAAACTCAGCTCGGTGTTGAAATGTGCTGTTTTACCTACAGGATTCAGAGCGAACGTTTTATAGGAGTTTCCTTCAGACAGAAGCAGAGCGACGCTGTCTGGCCCCGGCTCTTCTTTCACGTGTCTCACCTGTTCATGGGTTTGTTCGTGTGAAGAACATCTGGTCCGAAAGTGTTCTAGAAAACACTGAATAATAGAAGTGTTTTATTGTTTTTCATGTGTTTTTCGTGTGTGAGTTTGTCCTGGTCCCTGACACTTTGCACCAGGCAGAAAACACTCACTAATGTGGAAAAGACACATTCACTGTTGAGGTACAGAAGCTCAGAAGCCACAAACTGTTTATGGTTTATTCACCTTTTTCAGGCAAAAATAATCTCCATTACAATAAAACGTGATTTAAATACATTACAACTATTTACACAGGGCAGCTCTGCTTTCTCTGCTCCGAGACGTCCTCCCTTTATGAGCACATCAGCCCCGAGCAGACAGACAGACCGAGCTCCCCGGGGCTCCTCTCCGCACTTTTATTCCTGTTGGATGTTGGACAGGTGAACGCTCTGGCCGCTCGTAAATCCTCCGTGAGACGCGCTCGGCCTCATCTCGGGCCAAAGAGTCATCTGTCTGTCTTTAGTCCTCAGAGCTGCAGTAAAGGCAGAATCTCTGTGCTGCTTTAATGTCTGTGCTAATCTGCAGATGTTCTTGTGTGGCTGCTGCTTAAACATCACGATAATGGACTTTGAAACGGCTCTAACCGCTTCTTTTTCTCATTAGATTTTCACTTTTTGGATATTTCTTACAATAATACTATAATTTAAATACATATCATTGTTTTCTCTTGTTTGTCCAAACCGGATCCACCTTTGTGCACGTGCAGTTTTTGCTCAGTCCAGCTCCTCTTGGCTCCTGTTGCGCTTAGAAGCTCGTAGGGCAGGTGCGACAGGTGCGACAGGTGCGACAGGTGCGACAGGTGCGACGGGCGCGGCGTCACTTCCACCCGTTGAGCTCCTTGAGGCGGCTGATGTTGGTTCCCTTGGTGGTGGGAGGAGCAGGGGGAGGGGCCTGGAACAGCGGCAGAATGGGCGTGTCCCCGTCTTTCTTCCTCAGGGGAACCGTCCAAACCGTTCGACTCTTCTTCATCTTTTGGATCTTCTCGGTTTTCTCTTTCGTCGAACCCGGGGACATAGTCTGAAAAAACAAATCAAACCAACAGATTTTACACTTTTCTGTTGGATTTAAATGGAAATATTGAACTGTGATCAACTTCGAGGCGGCGCTTTGGAGCAGACGGACGTTTGTTACTGATGATCGGAGACTTTCCCTGAGGCTGTGAAGTTAACTCGAAGCACTGCTCTGTTACTCAAGTTTAGGGTGACCAGAATTTCAAAATCAAACACTGAGTTAGTGGGGGTTGGTAATAATAAAATTGTGAAATGAGTGCAGAATTAAGGAGAATTTTTCTGCACCCAGCTCTAATTTGAGTCAGTATAGTCACATTTTCTTTGTGTTTTGGTCGTTTTTAAGCAGCTTTTCTGTATTTCAAATAAACAAATGACACTTTATGTGTCTCTTTACTGTTAAATTGGTCCAAAATAGAGACACCTGGGACATTTCTTGTATAAAATTGGGACAAATCAGTGGTTTTGGATAAATCTGCCGGGACAGGGGACACACGGCTCAAACCTGGGACTGTCCCGGGGAAGTTGGGACGACTGGTCTCCTTACTCAAGTTAGACTTTAAACGTTTTATTTTAATGCGATGTGACCATAAAGAACTGACTTGGGTGGAACTACAGGGGAGGTGATTTGTCACACTTAAAAAAACCTGAAAGTCACAAGCGACGAACAGTTTTTCAGTGAGTCACTTTCACCTTTCAGTGTCAAATCAAACTCCTGAACAGGAAGTCGTGAACGAACAGGAAAAGAAGCTCTTTAAATGATCTGTTCTTTTCACACATTCTTAAAACTTTTTTGGTAGTTGTTGTTGTGTGGATTGCGTCACCATGGTAACTGCTGTACATTCTGCCAGATACATACAGTGTTGTGGAGTAACAGATTACATGAACTGGAGTAATCAGAGTACAAATGATGAGTAACTGTATTCAGTTACAGTTACTGTTTCAGTGAGTGGGAATTGGATTACAGTTACTTTGTTCAAATAAATGGATTAAACAGAGGGATTTTACTGTTTTCACATTTTGGGCTAAACCAGGACTAAACCAGGACTAAACCGGGACTAAGACCAGGTCTAAACTAGATCTAAACCAGGTCTAAACTAGATCTAAACCAGGACTAAGACCAGGACTAAGACCAGGTCTAAACTAGATCTAAACCAGGACTAAACCAGGACTAAGACCAGGTCTAAACTAGATCTAAACTACATCTAAACCAGGTCTAAACCAGGACTAAACCAGGTTTAAACCAGGTCTAAACCAGGTCTAAACCAGGACTAAACCAGGACTAAAACCAGGTCTAAACTAGATCTAAACCAGGACTAAACCAGGACTAAACCAGGACTAAAACCAGGTCTAAACTAGATCTAAACCAGGACTAAACCAGGACTAAACCAGGACTAAAACCAGGTCTAAACTAGATCTAAACCAGGACTAAACCAGGACTAAACCAGGTCTAAACCAGGACTAAACCAGGACTAAACCAGGACTAAACCAGGACTAAACCAGGTCTAAACCAGGTCTAAAACCAGGTCTAAACCACCCTAGTCTTTGTTTCTCTACAGCAAACCAAGTAATCCAAAGTAATCAGATTACATTACTCACTTTAAGTAATTTAATGGATTCTGTTACAAACTACATTTTGGTGTGTGTAATCTGTAATCTGTAGGGGATTACATTTGAAAAGTAAACTTCCCAACACTGCACATACATGTAGAACTCTCCAAGCTCCACGTCACTGCAAAGTATCAAACTGTTTGTGTTAAAAGTGTTTTTTATGTGAAATGTGAAATCAACACTAACTTTATAAATGTTTTTGATGAATTGATTCGATCATATTGTCCCGTCTTTGCCC